ATACTTCAGAGCCCTTTAGGACACGTGTGTTTTCCTGCTTGGACGAGTTCCGGAAAACTCGGGGTCCCCTTCTCCCACCCGCGCAGCGTGAACGGGCGCAGGGCAGCGGCCCCGCCTGGGCGCGACTCTGTCGCGGTGGGGTCGTGGCCGGGCGCCCCGGAGCCCCGCAGGGCCAGGCTCGGAGCGGGACGCCCCACCAGGCCCTCCCCGGAGCCCCCGGCCCCCGCGGGCGCGGGCGCGGGCGGGAGCCCCGGCTTCCCAGCCCCCGCGGGACAGGCGCCGTGCGCTCGCAGCCGGGCTGGCACGCAAAACCCCGAACGGCGGCCCCGGGGAGGGCTCGGGACTCACGCGCTCTCTCGGGCTGTCGGGGGCCTGTCCCCGGCCGGTTCCCGGCCCCGCGGGCTCTGAGAGTGCGAGCCTCCCATGGCTCGGAGCTCGGCGCCCCGGCTGCGCCCGCCCGTGCTCTGCGGCGCGCCGGCTCGACCCGGACCCTGGGCGGGGAGGAGGCGGCGGGGCGGGGGAGGAAGGGAGGGGCGGAGGCGCGGAGGGGCGGGCGGGTGGTGGGGAGCCCTGCCTCGGGTCCCGGCCGCCGGGAAAGCCGGCTAAAGGGCGTTGCTCGAGACGCCGCCAACTTCGCCGCCAACTGCAGGGCTCGGCCTGCGCCGCGGCCGGGGGGACTCCCGCCCCGGGCGATGCTGAGCGCGCGGCTCCCACCGGGGCCCCGCGGTACTGCCGGGGGGCCCGGACCGCGGGCAGCGCACTCCCAGCCGCGAAGTCCCTTGGCGGCGAACGAAAACAGGTGGAGTGGGCGGGAGGCCTGGGCGCACCCCGGGGGCCCCGCGGACGGGGAGCCGTCGCCGTCTGCCCGCACGGCCCGGGGCGGTCGGCAGCGCCTGGGGAGTCCCTGCTCCAGGCTAGAAGGGGAGCGGCTCTGCAGGGAAGCACCGGTAGGGGGCGGGTGTGTGTGTGTGGGGGGGGGGAATGTGTGTGTGTCGGTGTGTGTCGGGATGTGTGTGGTGTGTCGGGATGTGTGTGTGTCGGTGTGTGTGTGTGTCGGGATGTGTCAGTGTGTGTGTATCGGGATGTGTGTGTGTCGGGATGTGTGTGTGTTGGTGTGTGTGTCGTGTATGTGTGTCGGTGTGTGTGTGTGTGTCGGGGTGTGTGTGTGTGTGTGTCGGGATGTGTGTGTGTCGGTGTGTGTGTGTGTGTGTCGGGATGTGTGTGTCGGTGTGTGTGTGTCGGGATATGTGTGTGTGTCGGCATGTGTGTGTGTCGGCGTGTGTGTGTCGGGATGTGTGTGTCGGTGTGTGTGTCGGGATGTGTCAGCGTGTGTGTATCGGGATGTGTGTGTGTGTGTCGGGATGTGTGTGTGTTGGTGTGTGTGTGTCATGTATGTGTGTCGGTGTGTATGTGTGTCGGTGTGTGTGTGTGTCGGTGTGTGTGTTGGGATGTGTGTGTCAGGATATGTGTATCGGTGTGTGTGTCGGGTTGTGTGTGTGTCAGGATGTGTGTGTGTCGGGGTGTGTGTGTGTCGGGGTGTGTGTGTGTGTGTCGGGGTGTGTGTGTCGGGATGTTGTGTCAGGATGTGTGTGTTGGGGTGTGTGTGTCGGGGTGTGTGTGTGTGTGTGTGTGTGTCGGGATCCCGAGACCGCGGCTGCCTTTCCAGGCGGCCTCCCCACCGCAGCTTCTCCTGAGAGTGAGGCCAGGGCTGAGCTGTGGAGAAAAATGGATTTATCCCGGTTCTGCCCCCGACTAGCTGAGTGACTTGGGACTAATTACTTCACCCTCCGCGAGTCTTGTTTTCTTCATCTGTAAAACGAGGGAGTATGTTCATTTTTACCTCTAATGACCCTTCTGGTTCTGACATTCAGTTTGGAATGAATTCTCTTCCAAACTCTGTCTTAGGGAAAAATGTACCCTATCCCTCCCATTGCACCTGTGATCCACCTAATGCTACGCCTAATAAATCCCTTTGCAGAATATTCATGCCCTTTCTCACCCATTCCCATCTCCTGCATCCCTCCTCTTCAGCCATCTCTCCTCCATCCCACTGTTTGTTTTGGTTTGGTTTTAAACAAAGATTGGAATGCCCTTTTCTGCTAATACCTATTTATCCTTCCAGACCAACTCAGACCTCCCTTCTGGAACACTATCCTGTATCCCGATAGTATATATTTTTTGTTATAGCCTGTCTCTTTCATTAGAATATAAACTCTGCAAAGACAGGGAATTGTTTGGTATTCCCTGCTCCCCCAATATTGCCTGGTGCGTAGTAGATACTAATAATTGTCGATAAATGCATGTTATCGTTTTCCTCCCCAAAGTTCCTACACCATATGTTAATTCCTCTAACATGGCACTTACCAATCTTATTTTGTAATTATTTCTTTACTTGTCTATCTTTCCACTAGAATATGAGTTCTATAATGACAAGAATACCTTCTTATCTCTATGCAAGCTTAGTGCCTGGCACAGTGCCTGTATCCTACCTTACATACAATAAATATTTGCTGAATGAATGAATGAATGAATGAATGAATGAATGAATGAATGAGCCTATGGCAAAGCACACAGAATGGCGCTCAACCTTAACTTCGTTCTTGACTGGAAGCTTTAGGCAATAAAGACGTATGTGCCTACATTTTAATGTTTCCAGAAAGGGTGGGAAAACTCACAATGGAAACTTCTATTTACAACGGATCCTTTTTTATGTGGAATTTTGACTTCCTGTTTATACATTATCTTTACTCTCCCCTAGCCAGAGAGTTCCTAGAGTTCAGGATGCTGCCACATTGTAGGCATATACAGGCAGAGTATTTGGGGATGGGAAAATAAACATTAATTAGTAAAAGTGTAGTGAGGCTGGGAACTGAGATTGTGTGGGAAGGATTTCAAAAAGCTGAAGAAAAGTTGACTCTTGGCAGATGATTTTTAAAAAATGCTCACATTCTTCACACATTCTGTCTGGAATACTTTGGTAATGTGATTGAAGTGCCATTGATAATGCAGACATAACCCTGTCAGAGCCATGCTCCCTTTCAGAGGAACACTCAGCCTCTCCTAGTGAGAAAGGTCTTTATTCCCAGCGGATCATTCCAAGGGAAAAATGGGAGGGGAAGCAACAGGAGAGGAGGGGAAGAAGGGGAAAGTTTTCTTCCTACTGGGTAGACAAGATGGGTTATCGGGGAAAGTTTTATTATTATTAGTGGAGAAAGGCACAGGGTAATATCACTAAAATTGTTGAAAAGAAGGAAAAAAGTGAAGCCCACACCCCATTGTGATGCAGAGAAACCAAGACAATGAGGAGAAAAAAAGTCTGCAAAATAATGAGGAAGTTTGGCTATAGGGGGCCAAAGAGTATCTCTGCATAGATACCTGTGTTTACTGGTTTGCCTGCCTTGGCCGGTACAGAGACATGGGCAGCTGGGGCTCCAGACCCAGAGGAGTGAAGACAGTGAAGGAGAAGTCTTATCTTTGGGAAGTAAACTTATGAGGGCTTTTCAGGGAAAATGCCCAGGATAGACCTGAAAGACCCAAATAACCCTCTTCCCCCCAATGTATAATGATTGGCCCTTCACATGGAAGCAGAGCCAAGTTCTGTTTCCCCATCTCAGAGACTGGCTGCAGATCTCCAACAAAGGAATAGGCTCTGGGATATCTACAAATCCTCTGCTTAATGTTTCTTGGTTTAAAATCCTTCTGGCTTTTTATATTTCAACTAGAACGCAGCATTTAAAAGCTCAGCATTGCTAATGAAGATACAGAATTATTACCATGCAATCACAAGTCCTTCTCTGAGGAAAATTATTAAAGAAATGGAACCACCTCCTCTCCCTCAGTGTGGTTCTGCAGTTGTGCGCTCAAAGGCCAGCTATAAGTTGTGGATGATGCTGCTGTCATCTGACCCATTGTCTTACCCAAGTAAGGCCAGTTCTGGGGCTCAGAACTCTTCACGCAGCTGAGGAGTTGTCCTTCAAGAGGAAGGCAGGAGGATGACAGCTGGACACCACTTGTGATTGCATTTGATACGGAATAAAGGGAGAACAGAACCTTCTGACTGTTTTAGGGTGTCCTGTAGTTTCTGCCTAAAGCGACCAAACAAGGAGAAGAAAGGAAAGCGAGGAGGGAGGCAGCCCGCATTTTGCTGTCCCTGGGCAGCGGGCTGCTGAACATGATGGCCAGCAGGGATCAAAGGAGATATATGGCCTGTGATGGAATCTTGGAGGGGTAGTATTTGATATCCAGTGTTAAGGTTTCCATTTTGCATTATAATTCTGTCAGTAGGCATTTTTTAAACATTGAACAAATAGTAAAGAAAGAAAATTTAAGGAATGGAAATTGATGATTGCCCCCTATATTGCAAAATACACTCATCAGTGTCAAACCCTACCCCTAGAATGCTCCTTAGGCTCCCTAGAAGGATGAGAGCTAGCATTTAGTAGATACTGGGGGCTTTGCTTGGTGGTTGATGAAAGTAACCACATTTCGTCCTTATAACACAAGGAAATGATAACAACAGTAGCTAACAGTTTTTTGAGTACTTTTTATATGCCAGATTGTCCTAAGTGCTTTAGATTTATTAATTCATTTAATGTCCATTACAGTGTTTATAGGCACTTTAATATCCTCAATTTACAAATGAGTAAAGTGAAGCATGGAAAGGTTCAACATGCCCAAGGCCACACAGCTACAAAATAGCAGAGCTGGGAATAGAATCCAGGCAGGTTAGCTCCAGAGTTATAACAGAGTTTGGTCTCTGTGCTGTATTTCCTTAATTTTTACACTGTGCACTATTTTAAGAGGAAGAAACTGAGGTTTAGAGAGGTAAGTGGTATATCCAGTATTTAAACCCAGTTCTGTTTTGATCACAAAGCTTATGTTCAACATGGATTTTTTCCCCCCCAGCAATCGTGCCAAATGAGTATTACCCTTCATAGTAGCCATCCTGGGAAATTACATGCTTATTATCTCAGAGCTGCACCACCTTTCCTTTTGGGAAGTTATTGAAATGCTAATTCATAAGCCAAAAGGATAAAATTAGGTTTACTACACATTGTTAGTAAAGGCCACATATTGTTACTGCAAGAGCCACATATTTTTCTTGAAATTAGGTAGCATAAGTGCTCCAATATTGTTCTTTTTCTAAATAGTTTTAGCTATTCTCGGTTCTTTGTCTTCTCATATAAGGTTTAAAATAAATTTGTAAATTTCTTTTTTTTTTTTTTAAGATTTTTTATTTATTTTTTGACAGAGAGAGACAGAGTGAGAGAGGGAACACAAGCAGGGAGAGTGGGAGAGGAGAAGCAGGCTTCCTGCAGAGCAGGGAACCCAATGCAGGGATCGATTCCAGGACCCTGGGATCATGACCTGAGCCGAAGGCAGATGTTTAATGACTGAGCCACCCAGGCACCCCAATTTGTAAATTTCTTTAAAAAAAAAACCTTGTCTGAATTTATTGAATCTATTGACTTACTGAATCTATTGACTAATTTGAGGAGGACTGCTAGTTTAACAACATTGAGACTTCTGATCCATGAACATGGCATAGCTCTATTTATGGAGATCTTGAATTTCCCATAATGTTTTGTCATTTTCAGCCTATAGGTCTTGCACATCTTTTGCTAAATTTATTCCTAAATGTTTATGCTATGTTTAAATATTTTTTACAGATTCTATTTATCCATTTGAGAGAGAGAGCACGAATGGTGAGGAGGGGCAAAGGGAGAAGGAGAAGCAGACTCCCCGCTCAGCAGGGAGCCCCATGTGGGGCTTGATCCTAGGACCCTGGGATCATGACCAGAGCCAAAGGCAGATGCTTAACTGACTGAGCCACCCAGGTGCCCCTTTATGCTATTTTAAATGGAGAAATAAAATTGATTATTGTATATTTTATCCTGCAACCTTGCTAAGTTCATTATTACTTCTAATAGTTTTTTGTGTGTGGATTCCTTAGGGTTTTCTGTATGTCACTTGCAAATAAAGACAGTTTTACTTCTTCCTTTATACTCTGTATACTCTGTATACCAGGGCCTAGCACTGGCTTGGTACTTCCATACAATATTAAAGAAAAGTGGTTAGAGCTAACATCTTAGCCTTTTCCCTGGTCTTAGGTGGCAAGCACTGAATCCTTCACATCGTAGCATGACATTAGCTGTCATCTCTTGTAGAATGCCTTAACCATGTTGGGAAGTTTGCTTTTATTCATAATTTGCTGAGTTTTTTTTTAATGATAAAAAGGTATTGAATTTCAAAAAATGCTATTTCTGTACTTACTAAAATGTTCATATTATTTTCCTCCTATATTCTATTAATTTGTTGAATTACACTGATTGATTTTTAGATGTCAAGCCAAACTTGCATTGCCCCTTGAGTAGCATATAATCTTTTTATATGCTGCTAGATTTGATTTGATAATAGGTTGTTGAGGACTTTTACATTTATATTCATGAGGGCTATTGATCTGTAGTTTTTTTTCTTTAGATGTTTTCAACTGGTTTTGGAATCAGGATAATACTGACATCATAAAATGAGTTGGAAAGTGTTTCTTCCTCCTTTATTTTCTGGAAGAGTTTTCGTAGGATTGGTATTATTTCTTCTTTAAATGTTTGATAGAATTCACCAGTGAAGCCATCTGAGCCAGAAGTTTTCTTTGTCAGAATGTTTTTAAATGCCAAATTTCATTTCTTTGTCAGAAGGCTGTTCAAGCATTCTGTTTCTTCTTGAGTCAGCTTTGTAATTTGTCTTTCCCAGAATGTGTCCATTGCACCTAAATGTTCACATTTAATGGCATAAAGATGCTCATACTAATAATAATGGAGTATTTGGGGTGCCTGGGTGGCACCTCAGTTGGTTGGGCATCTGATTCTTGGTTTTAGCTCAGGTCATGATCTCATGGGTAGTGAGATTGAGCCCAGAGTCAGACTCTGTGCTCAGCAGAAAGTCTGCATGAAGACTCTCTCCCTTTGCCCCTCCCCCACTCTCTCTCGCAAATAAATATTAAATAAGTCTTTTAAAAACTTTAAAAATAATAATGGAGTGTTCTCCTTTTAATGTCTGAAGGATCTGTAATGGAGTGCTCTCTTTCATTACTGATATGGCAATTTCTTATTTTTTTTCTTGGTCAGGTGGGATTGAGATTTATCAATTTTTTTTTTTGAAGTGAACATAACCTCAAGATTTTATTGTCTTCATAATATTAAAAAAATATGAGGCTTAGAACTGGATCACTTGGCCCTTTCTCTTCTTATCTCCTCCCAGTTCAAAATGCTTGCATCTCTTAGTAGCCAGCATTCTCTTAGATCTGCAATTGGGCTCAACACATTCAAGCCTCAGCACAATCTTCTTTGTAGTTTTAGCCTTTTTCTGGAAAATTGGCTTAGTCTGCCCACCATAGCCACTCTGCTTCCTGTCATAACGCCGCTTTCCCTGGGCATAAAGAGAATCTTTGCCCTTCTTGTACTGTGTCACTTTGTGGGGCTGGTGCTTGCCACACTTCTTGCAGAAAGTCCGGCGGGTTTTAGGAACGTTCACCATGTTTGCGGGAGCGCTATCGGCATGGAAAGGAGATTTATCAATTTTATTAGTTTTTTCAAATGACCAGCTTTTGGTTTTATTAATTTTCCCTTTTTTTTTTTCCTGTTCTCTATTTCATTGATTTCTGTCTTATCTTTATTATTTCCTTCCTTCTGATTGCTTTGGGTTTAATTTGCTTCTTTTTCTAGTTTTTAAAGGTGGAAACTTAGGTGGAAAAGTGGAAAATTGATTTGAGAGCTTTCTTCTTTTATCTTATAGGCATTCAAAGCTATAACTTATTTCCCTCTAGCATATCCCACAAATTTGATACGTTATATTTTTATTATCATTCAGTACAAAATATTTGCTAATCTCTTGTAATTTCTTCTTCAACCTATTAAATATTTAAAGTGTTTAGTTTCCAAATATTTATCATTTTCCTAGTTATCTCACTGTTCTTAGTTTCTAATTTAATTTAATTGTGGTCAGAGAACAAATTTAAAATTTACTGAGACTTATTTATGGTCTAGAATATGGTCTAAAGGCGCGTGGGTGGCTCAGTTGGTTGGGCGTCTGCCTTCGGTTCAGGTCATGATCCCAGGATCCTGGGATCGAGCCCTGCATCGGGCTCCCTGCTCGGCGGGGAGCCTGCTTCTCCCTCTCCCTTTGGCCCTCTCCCTGCTTGTGTGCGCTCTCTCTCTCTGTCAAATAAATAAATAAAATCTTAAAAAAAAAATATGGTCTATCCTGGTAAACATATTATATGCACTTGAAAAGAATGTGCATTTTACTGTTCTTGGGTGAAGTGTTCTATAAATATCAATTAGGTCAAGGTGGTTGATAATATTGTTAACATTTTCTATCTTTGCTGATTTTTGTTTGTTTACTCTATCAATTTTTGGGAGACATTATAATCTCCAGTTTTGATTACATATTTCTTCCTTTAATTCTGTCAATTTTTGCTTCATATATTTTGAAGCTGTTATTGAGCGCTGGCAAATTTGCGATTTTCATGCCGCCTTGACTAACTAAAATTTTCATTATTCTGAAGTGCCCTTCTTTATCTTTGGTAACACATTTTGTTTAGAAATCTATTTTGTTTGTTACTAATATAGCCACTCCAGCCTTCTTGTGCTTACTCTTTACATGATATATCATTTTCTATCCATCTATTTTTGATCTATCTCTGTCTTTATATTTAAAGTATGTCTATGTGTTCTTTTAAGTAGACATTAATTTTTAGAGCAGTTTTCAGTCCACGGTTAAACTGAGCAGAAAGTATAGAGAGTTCCCATGTACCCCTGCCCCCAAACGCACACACCGTCCCCATTGCCAACACCGCACACTGGAGTGGTACATATGTTACAATCAACGCTGACATCATCGCCACCTGAAGTCCATAGTTTACATTAGGATTCACACTTGGGATTGTACATTCTATGAGTTTTAACAAACATATAATAACATGTATCCACCACTGTAGTATCATGCAGAATAGTTTCAATCCTCTAAAAACCTGCTGTGTTCTGCCTATTCATCCTCCCCCACCCCATTCCCTGGCAATCAGATATTTTTACTGTTTTTGTAGTGTTGCCTTCTCCAGAATGTCATAATAGAATCAAACAGTATGTAGCCTTTCAGACTGGCTTGTCTCATTTAGTAATATGCATTTAAGTTTCCTCCATGTCTTTTTGGTGGCTTGATAACTCAATTCTTTTCAACCCTAATATTCCTTGTCTGGATGTACCACAGTTTATCCATTCCCCTACTAAAGGACATCTTGGTTATTTTGGGAATTTTTGGCAATTATGAATAAAGCTGCTTTAAACATCATGTGAAGATTTTTGTTTGTACAAAAGTTTTTAACTAATTTGGGCAAATACCAAGGAATGTAATTGCTGGATCATATGGTTTATTTGTAAGAAACCACCAAACTATCTTCCAAAGGGGCTGTACCATTTTGCACTCCTACCAGCACTGGATGAGAGTTCCTGTTATCCACATCCTCACCAGTATTTAGTGTCACTAGTGTCTGAATCTTTGCCATTGTAATAGGTGAGCAGTCGTATCCCTTTGTTTTAATTTGTAGACTCCTGATGACACATGATGTGGCACATCTTTCATATGTTTATTTGCCATATATATATATATATGATTTTATTTATTTATTTGACACAGAGAGAGAGGGAGAGGGAGAAGCAGACTCCCCACTGAGCAGGGAGCCCAATGCGGGGCTCAATCCCAGGACCCTGGGATCATGACCTGAGCCAAGGGCAGATGCTCAACCGACTGAGCCACCTAGGTACCCCTATATATATCTTTTTCACTGAGGTGTTACATTTGGCTTTTTAATCCATTTAAAAATAATCATCAATTTTAGTCTTTTGATTGGAGTGTTTAGGTTATAAACATTTAATGTAATTACTGATATGGTTGGGTTGGGTTCTATCATTTTATTTTAAAGATTTTATTTATTTGACAGAGAGAGAGAAAGAGAGAGAGAGAGTGTACAAGCAGGAGAGTGGCAGGCAGAGGGAGAAGCAGACTCTTGGCTGAGCAGGGAGCCCAACTCGGGGCTTGACCCCAGGACCCTGGGATCGTGACTTGAGCCAAAGGCAGGTGCTTAACTCACTGAGCCACCCAGGTGCCGTGGTTCTATCATTTTATATTTTTGTTTTCTACTTTTCTCTCCTGACATTTACTTCTCCATTTCCCATTTCCTGCCTTTTAAAAAATATTACTTTAATATTTTATAAATTATTCCATTTTTGTTTTATTGATGGCTTTTTAGCTACAGTGTTTACATTTTTATTTCAGCGGTTGACCTATAAATTATAAAATACATCCTTAACTTTCCATAGCCCATTTAAAGTTAATAATGTACTTCTTCATCTAGAGATGAAAAGTGCAATTTCTGAAAAAAATTCAACAGATTGACTTAACTACCAAATGGATGTGTTAAATGAAAGAATAATAAACCTTAAGGTAGAGCAACCAAAATTACTCAAGCTCATACCACACCAGAATCTACTTCCATTTCCTCTTCAGTACCTTCCGGTAGTCACTTTACATATGATGTCCAGGTTTTAGAGTTATTTTCTGCAAGAATTGTCACAATACCCAGAATGGTCCATAATATCCAGAGGTAGAAGCCTGTATATTATTTTTATGCTTTATCACCCACCTTACTCATCACAGTTGTCCTGAGTGACCCCAGTTTCAAAAATCAAATCCACCTCCACAGGATAAAGACTCATCTAGAATACTGAGAATAATTTGGTATGTGCCCTGAAGACAATTTTAAGGGCATTGAGCAATGGAAGCATAATTGCACTAAGTCTGTAATATCTTAAGGTGACAGAGACTAATATTCCATAATATCTGTTTTTCTCTTCTCTCTTAGTAAAACAAACAAAAAAAATCCTGACTTTTAGCTATTATGGATAATAGCTACATTTCCCAGACTGGCCATGTAACTAAGTTTTGGTCAATGGGATAAAAATAAAAGTGCCAAGTTCAACTTATATGAAGTATCATTAATGGGAGGTACTATGGGCTGAATGTTTGTGTCTCCCTCAAATTCATGTGTTGAATAATCCCCAAGAGTGATGGTATTAGGAGATGGAACATTTGGGGAGGGCTTAAATCATGAGGGTGGAGCCCTCATGAATGAGATTGGTGCCCTTATAAAAGAGGCTCCAGAGAGATTCCTTGCCCCTTCCCCCATTTGAGGACAATAGCTAGAAAGCACTGGCTATGAACCTGGAAGAGAGCCCTCATCTTTGCTGGCACACTGATCTTGGACTTTCAGCCTCCAAAACTGTGAGAAATACATGTATAAGCTACACATTCTGTGGTATTTTGTTATAGCAGCCCAAAAAGACTAAGATAGATGGTGAGCCCTTTTTGGCTCTTTCTTTCCCCTGCCGGCTGGAATGTAGATGGGATAGCTCAGTTCATGCAGCCATACTTCTTGAGGTTGAAGGAGCCTGGATCCATGACACCATGGAGCCCCTAAGTCTGCCCTACAGACCTTTTATGTGAAAGAAAAAATAAACTTACATATTGCTTAACCACTATTATTTTGGATTTCTGAAAAACTCAGCCAAAGCAAATCCTGATTATATTATGGTCATTAAATTACGGAGAAAAAACGTCCTATTATCTTGTAGTTGAACCATCTGTACTGGAAGAATGGTATTACTGAGTGACCCTGCCAGCAATCATCCCACCTACTCTTTAGATAAAGAGTGTGTATAAATTAGGGGCACCTGGGTGGCTTAGTCGCTTAAGCGTCCAATTCTTGGTGTCATCTCAAGTCATGATCTCAGGGTTGTGAGATCGAGCTCCGAGAAGGGCTCCACGCTCAGCGCAGTTTCTGCTTGTACTCCTCCCTCGCTCCTCCCCTGATCTCTTTCTCTCTCTCAAATAAATTAATAAAATCTTAAAAAAAAAAAACAAACCCTAACCCTAATACATCCCAGGGCTGAAGTATAGTTCCTGCTGAATGTGTCCATAAAATCTACCCCCAGCCATCATTCCACCCATGCAAATCTATGCTCTATTCCAAATAAACTTTCTCCAATTGAATGTTTCCATTCTCTTCTCCCTCAGTCCTGCCCTGAGTGATTCATTCATTTATGCATTCATTCATTCATTCACTCATTCATTCAGCAGATACACCCAGACACCTACCTTGATGTCTATCTTACTCTGAATTCATCTTGGCAAAAGTGTTGCAGAACTTGAGAGTTGCCTGAGACCAGCCGTCAGCCTCACAATGACCCTGTTGACCCTAATTCCGCCTCACATTATTGTCATGGCGCTGCCTAAATTCAACAAAAAGTCAAAACTAAGAGACTGATTTCTAGAAAAGAGCTGGAAGGGACCTAAGAGGTCATCTAGTTCCAACTTTTTTTATTAATATGAGTGAACCGAGGCCCTGACACACTTGAGACTTGCCCAGGGTTACAGAGTGCCAAAGCTGCAACCAGGACTCAGATTTCCCCACCCGGCCCAGCCCTCTGTTCTTTCCTCCCTTCTTACTTCCTTCATTCACACTTAATCCAAATACAAAGATTACATATCTATTACTTTGATTAGAAAATACGAACATTTTACTTTAAAAACCATCCCAGTTATACTCAGTGTCAAAGAAAGAAATTACCTTTGGTGATTTGTCTTTGAATTTATTCTCAGTTTACCCTGAAGAGTGAACATGCCAGCAACCCAGACCAGGACCTTTGCTCTGACTGGAGCCCTTAGGACTGAAAAAAATTAAGTCAGGTGAAAGTCACATGCTTATTTACAAGGTAGCTTTTCAGTGCAAGTTTCCAGCCAAACGCCTCCTGCCTAAGGCTAATTCTCAGAAATTCCTCTACGGTTCCACCACTCTGTGTATGACTGTTGTGTTACACTTTGTGCTAGTGAAGCTGACTTCTGGCGCGCGCACACACACACCCACACACACAGTCTTTGTTCCCCTCATTTAAGGTGATACAACCGTCATCCATAATAAGTGGGCAGTTTCCAGAAGAAATCCTGTGCTTCAGACCTGTGATTCTGCCCTCCTACTGTGGGAACGGCTGCCAAGTCCACAATTTCAGTCTGTATTCTCCAGGAGAGCAATGAAAGCATTTAAAACAACAACAACAAAACTTCTTTGGTTTTTTATTTCATTTACTTGTCATTTCTATTCCTACATAATGGTTCCGGGACGATATCTTTTGTGTGCTTTCTATTGATTGATCGATTGATTGATTTCTATTGATTTTGTTTTTAAAGCAGGATATTTTTTGTGCCCTGGCCTTGTCTTCAGAGACAGAACCTGCCTATAATTCAAACATCCTCAGTAACCTCAAGTGTCTTCTTGGAACATTAACTCTTGGTACTTTTTTGGGTCTCATCTAACTCAGGGGTAGAGACCTAGAGCAGCCTTTGGGTATTTATTTTTAAGTAATCTCTACATCTAACATGGGGCTCAAGCTCACAACCCTGAGGTCAAGAGTTGCATGCTCTACCAACAGAACCAGCCAGGCGCCCCAACCTTTGGTGCTTAAACATGGATTCCAACCCACTGCCTGGTGCTGAGGGTTGGAGAATAGGGAGAGTATATTGTATTTCTACTCTCTGACCCAGCAGGCTCCAACGTTAGTCATTGCACCAAGAAATGAAAAAGCAGGTAGAAAAAACAGAAAGTTGGCAAGAGTCCTGAGGGCTAGGTTCAAGGAAGTGCTCAAACTTGAGAGCATTAAATTTGGAATTAAAAAATCAATATGATGGTTCATTGAATCAAAATAACAGCATAAATATAAAAACAAAACAAAACACTATCGTTTTCTGGCTGGGCAAATCAGCAGGCTGTGTGGAGCCTAAGAATGTTGCAAAGCAGAAGCAGACATTCAAAGGAAATCTCTAAAGACAGACAAAGTAAATGTAAAATGTTTTTTGGCTTAAAAGATAAGACTGTCCTTAGAGGGCATGTCAGGACCTTAATTATTTACCTTAGGACATTTGTGAGCCAGCCAGAGCTGCCAAGTTACAAGAATAAAACAGGCTTTTCACCATAAGCAAGATAAATACAAAGATTAAGTGCAGGTGGAACCAAACCTCAGAGTCACCCTTTCCTCAAGCAGTCTCAAAGTCTTCCACATTCCAACAGAGAAAGACCAGAATTGCACTGCAATGATTCTGAACCTGCAGGTGAAAATCCAGGGCTACCCATGGGAGTTAGGATGGAAGAAAATAAAAATATGACACCTTACCAGATGTAGTATGTGCACTGATCAGCAGGGAGTGCTCTTGTTGACCTTTTTCCGTGCTCCAGGGAGGGGTGGTATCAGACCAGGATTTGCTTTGGGTAGCCTTAGTTTTGAATTTTTCAACTTTCTTGCCTGGGCTCACAAGTTATTTTTTATCTGTATTCAACTCCGTGATCCACATGGCTATTGATACTATAACCATTTTTTGAGCATCTGGGATCCAAAAGGTGTGGGCGGCATAAGTGGAAGCTATAGACTCCATCATTTGGGTCCTCTGCCCCTCCATGAATAGTCCCTGGGAGGAAGGGACTGATCCTACCACAAGGACTGAACAGGGCATGAGACGGTCATTGCAAGAAGGGAAACAGAGGCTTGAGCAAAGTGGAATGAATGTGAGAAACATAATACCTGGATTGCCTGGTCAAAGCATACTGAGGACAGTCATAGGGCCGAAGAGCTAAAAGGGGCCAACGGGATCATCTGATTCCAAATCCCACCTGATTCAGAATTCCTCTGATTGAGAATTGTGACCAATGGTCAGCCAACCTCTGCTTGCAATATTCAGAGATATTTTTGGCAGGCGAAGAATTGCAGCACTCAGATCCCTTTCCAAGAAAGGACTTAGCAACCCAGCTTCAAGGAATGTGGTTAACTGATAACCTCCAGCTGTTAGTGCCTTCAGGGTCCGCCTCAGCTTTTCAATCTTCTCTGGGAGTCCCCAGCCAAAGGCTGAGCAAAGTGGTGGCATAAAGACCTGACCATTTCTGCCCAACAGGGCACTCCTCTTAGTGGATAATGTTTGCTTTGGAGCTCTTCATTGGCCTGGCAGAGACTTAGTCAGAACTACAGTCTGAAGGCTCTCCTGCCCAATCTTGCTTTCTCTCCTGTCCAAGTGTTACACCTCAGTAAGCCTTAATACATGAAGCACAGGGAATTTTTTTTAGAGCATGAGCTATTCCTTTTATATATATATATATATATATATATATATTTTTTTTTTTTTTTTTTTTAAATTAAGTAAACTCTACCCACAACGTGGGGCTTAAACTCATGACCCTGAAACTAAGAGTTGCATGCTCTACTGACTGAGCCAGCCTGGGCATAAACTATTCTTTACGATACTGTAATGGTGGAAACATGACACTACACGTTTGTCAAACCCATAGAATTTTACAGCACAAAAAGTGAACCTTAATGTAATGCATTAAAAAAGAATCACTTAGGAGGTGAGGGGATTCCAGGATGGAATGCAGACTAACAAAACAATCTAACTGTATTACAAATATACGAAACACCTGTACTTGAAGGGGTTGGGGGGAAGGTGCTGACCTAAGTAACTCTGGGAACAGGTGGAGTCTGTAAGACTAATGGCCATTAAACTACACATAAGCACTGTATTCTGGCTGATAAAGTTGTTTCCCACAGGAGCACACGTTCACAATTCTAATAACACTATACATGTATATTGCAATTGAACGATGAAGTAAATGGATGGCAGATGGTGGGAGCCAGCTTTCTTGGCTGAAGTGAGAAGTTACAGGTAAGCAAAGGGAGGTCTAGAAAGAGCCATGTGGTAATAAATCAGAGTTGGAGACATCAATATGAATCCATGTTTTGTTCCATAAAGATTCAGATGGTTACATATAGAAATATTTATAAATATGTGTATATACCCAGGTTAGTATACACACATATATCTTGCTCTATCAGCTGACAGGGCATAAAATCAACAGCTCCTCAGTAGCAATAAGCATATATAGCACCCAGAGCTTGGTTTTCAATTCCTTTCTCCAATAAAAGGAACTAGGACTACTTGGAGAAATGGGTGATTCTAGGACTGGGGCAAGAAATATACAAGGTGATCCTGGAGCTTCATACAGTGCCAGAAAGTAAAAAAGTGCTCAAGAAAGAAACAAACACAACATCAAAACCCACACTGATAGAGGTATAACATAGGGACACAGAAGCCAACTGAAAGAGTTCCCGATGGCCAAAGTTGGAACAAGTTGAGAAATGAAATAACAAATTAGTGTTGGATTATAACCTGAAGTATGAAATAATTACACATAAGTTTCTACAATATAAGTAAATGATTTAACAAATAAATGAATGAAGAGACAAATGTTCCATGAAGAAAAATTCCAAATAACTTGTGTAGATACTCCAATCTCAATGAGGGAATGCTTAACTCTCCACTCCTTAAGCATGGGTGGTGCATAGTGGCTTCCTTCCAAAGAGTACCGTATGGAAAGAGGAAAAAAGAGTCACTTTACAGTGGAGAAATCCGACAAACACTGCTTCAGCCATGTGATCAAGGTAAACACCAGTCGTGATAAGTCATGTTGACAGTATGTGTCCTTTTTTTTTTTTTAAAGATTTTATTTATTTATTTATTTGCCAGAGAGAGAGAGGGAGCACACAAGCAGGGGGAGCGGCAGGCAGAGGGAGAAGCAGGCTTCCCGCTGAGCAAGGAGCTGATGCAGGACTCAATCCCAGGACCCTGGGATTATGACCTGAGCTGAAGGCAGACGCTTAACCAACTGAGCCACCCAGGCATCCCAGACAGTATGTATCCTTGATATGATGCAAGGAAACAGTACTTTACTTCTGTGGTTTTCCTTCTAAGAACCCATAACCACAGTATAATTGTGAGAACAACATAAAACAAATTCCAATTGAGACATTTTACAAAATACAGGATCAACGGTCCTCAAAACTTTCCAGGTTGTCAAAAACAAGGAAATCTGAGAAACTGTCAAACTAAAAGTAACCAGAGGAGTTATAACTACTAAATGCAATAAGGCACCCAGGGTGGGATCTGGAACAGAAAGAGGACATTAGGTAAAAACTAAAGAAATTAAATAAAGTATGGACTTCAGTTAATAATAATGTATCAATATTGGTTCATTAATTGTGATATATGTACCACACAAATATTAAATGTTAATTACAGGGGATTCTGTATGTGGGTTATGTTGGAACACTCTATACTATCTTCATAATTTTTCTGTAAATCTAAAACTGTTGTAAAATGAAAAGGTTGTTTGGTTTTTTTAAAAGATTTTATTTATTTCTTTGACAGAGAGAGACACAGACAGAGAGGGAACACCAGCATAGGGAGTGGGAGAGGGAGAAGCAGGCTTCCTGCCGAGCAGGGAGCCTGATGCGGGGCTCGATCCCAGGACCCCGGGATCATGACCTGAGCTGAAGGCAGACACTTAATGACTGAGCCACCCAGGCGCCCTGAAAAGGTTGTTTTTAAAAACACTCCCTTATATTGTTAAAACTAACTTTCTTATATTTAGCTAACATCTGCCTGCCAAGAGTCTTTACCACCTTGAGTGATGTTTGATGATCCTCTGCCTGGAATCCCTCCTACCCTAGATCTTCATGTGGCTGCCTTTATTGTCATTCAGGACTCAACTCAAACATCACCGCCTCAGTGAGGGTGCTTCCAACTACTCAGTCTGAAGAGGCATCTCCTAATCCCCAACCCTATTGTCTTATCTTGTCTTGGTTTCTTCTGAAATTATTTTTATTTTTATGTATCGTCTTATAACCACCCCCACATGAGGCCCAGAACCTCATGATTCTTGCCCACAGCAATCTTCGCAAGTACCTAGAAAACAGTCTGGAAATACAGAGAACACTCAAGGAGATTTATTAGTTGAATGAACAAATGAAAAAATTGGTCTGCTTTCTTCGACATGATCGTTCTTTGAACATATGGACTTGCATGCCTCCAAGTTTTCTTTACTTCGAGCTGGAAACCTCTAGATTCTTCACATGTTTCTCACTTAACATAGGCCTCTGGTACCGGATGATGATACGGTAGTAATAAAGTTATGTATGTATTTATTTATTTATTTAGTGCTTTATCATATACTGTGCGCTGTGGTAAGTAAGCACTTTTAAAACAGCTTCTCTTTTATCCGCACAAAATTTATGCTCTATAAGTCAGGCATTGTTGGATGATGTCTGGAATGTCATTATCCTCCTTAAAAATGGCCCCAGATCTGGACTCTACCGATGAAATACATTCTGGACAAAAGAACTATTGCCTTCTCTGATGTCTTTGTCCATCAACATGACCTATTTGGGGGATAGGTTGGCTTAAGCAGCAGTGAAGCCATGCTTTTACTGCTGTCCTCTGCCAGTGGTCATCACACTGGTCTGTGATGAGATAAGGAGCTTGTGGCAGACTGTAAACCGTCCACATCACTAAGGACACTGTTCAGTTCAGCTGGTTTGTTTTTCACAGCAAGACCTTCTCAATGAAGGAAGCTGTGTGTTGGTTTCTAGTCTGACACCAGCTCTTCATCTTGTTGTGGACTGCCTCTCTGAATAGCACTGATCTCAGCCACAATTCTTAGCATTGTTTTCTTATTCTGTGTCATAACAGACTCAATATTTAGTTCATTCCTGCTGCCAACCAACTTTGAGCAAACGACTCGGTAGAAATCCTACAAAGAATACTCAAAGATTGCCCAGAAGGAGGGCAGTTGGTGAGAAAATGTGAGAAGAAGGTGAGAAGGTGGCATAGTGGAGAAGTCCTTAGACTGAGTCCTATGACCTCTAGTTTAGTCCTGGATCTGTCATTCGCCAGCTGTGGGTAGGGAAATTCTCTCCAGGTCTCATTTCCCTCATCTGTGAAAGAAGGTGATGGAGGTAGGTAAATTCTTTCAGTTTTTGTGCTCTAGGTTTTAACTCCTTGAGTCAAATGACTTCCACATACTAAATGTCCCTAGGCTGAGCCTTTCCACAACTTGTGTGTCCCCATCACATCTGCCACCATTTTGTTTCCCACAAAGTTTTGCCTGCTGATGACACAACCGGCTTCAGAACAGGAACGTCACAGTGCTATCCAGCAGCCAGGCCCAAAGATAAGGGAATTAGAGTCTAGGGGCTGAAAGGCATCTTCAGCAATATGTGTCTCCCAATGATTGAGCAATGCTTTTGTCAAACATAGAGGTATCAATAAATGCATGCCATCAGATTTTTTCTGGAGGTTTCTGGTACTGCATAAAAAGGGCTTGAAAGTTACTACTCTGTCCTAACAGCAAGTAAAAAGCTGAACAGACTGAAAAATCAACAACTCTTCTTGGATCTGTAGGAGAGGGATTGACATCAGACAAACCACTCCACCCAAGACTGGAGAGACCGACAGGTGAGTACAGAAAGTCATTGCTTACCAGAACAGAGATTCATAAGCAGAACCACCATGGAAATAATTTGGATATTGAGAAATTGATTCTAAAGTTTAAATGGAGAGGAAAAAGACCCAGAATGGTCAACACAATTTTGAAGGACAGGAACTAAATTGTAGGACTGACACTACCCAACTTCAAGACTTACTATAAAGCTACAGTACTCAAGACAGTGTGGTACTGGTGAAAGAATGGACAAATAAATCAATGGAACAGAACAGAGAGCACAGAAATAGACCCATCTACAAATAGACCCATATACGTTCAGTCAAAGGAGCAAAGGCAAGACAATGGAGCAAAGATAGTCTTTTCCAACAAAAAGAAATAAAAGGCATCCAAATTGGCAAAGAAGAAGTCAAACTCTCACTCTTTGCAGATGATATGATACTTTATGTGGAAAACCCAAAAGACTCCACCCCAAAACTGCTAGAACTCATATAGGAATTCAGTAAAGTGGCAGGATATAAAATCAATGCACAGAAATCAGTGGCATTTCTATACACCAACAACAAGACAGAAGAAAGAGAAATTAAGGAGTCGATCCTATTTACAACTGCACCCCAAACCACAAGATACCTAGGAATACATCTAACCAAAGAGGCAAAGAATCTGTACTCAGAAAACTATAGAATACTCATGAAAGAAATTGAGGAAGACACAAAGAAATGGAAAAATGTTCCATGCTCATGGATTGGAAGAACAAATATTGTGAAGATGTCCATGCTACCTTGAGCAATCTACACATTTAATGCAATCCCTATCAAAATACCATCAACTTTTTCAAAGAAATGGAACAAATAATCCTAAAATTTGTATGGGACCAGAAAAGACCCCACATAGCCAGAGGAATGTTGAAAAAGAAAAGCAAAGCTGGCAGCATCACAATTCCGGACTTCCAGCTCTATTACAAAGCTGTCATCATCAAGACAGTATCGTACTGGCACAAAAACAGACACATAGATCAATGGAACAGAATAGAGAGCCCAGAAATGGACCCTCAACTCTATGGTCAACTAATCTTTGACAAAGCAGGAAAGAATGTCCAATGGAAAAAAGACAGTCTCTTCAACAAATGGTGTTGGGAAAATTGGACAGCCACATGCAGAAGAATGAAACTGAACCATTTCCTTACACCATGCACAAAAATACACTCAAAATGGATGAAAGAGGGCGCCTGGGTGGCTCAGTTGGTTAAGCGACTGCCTTCGGCTCAGGTCATGATCCTGGAGTCCCGGGATCGAGTCCCGCATCAGGCTCCCTGCTTGGCAGGGAGTCTGCTTCTCCCTCTGACCCTCCTCCTCTCATGCTGTCTGTCTCTCATTCTCTCTCTCTCTCAAATAAATAAATAAAATCTTAAAAAAAAAATGGATGAAAGACCTCAATGTGAGACAGGAATCCATCAAAATCCTTGAGGAGAACACAGGCAGCAACCTCTTCGACCTCAGCTGCAGCAACTTCTTCCTAGATACATCGTCCAAGGCAAGGGAAGCAAGGGCAAAAATGAACTATTGGGACTTCATCAAGATAAAAAGCTTTTGCACAGCAAAGGAAACAATCAACAAAACCAAAAGACAACTGACAGAATGGGAGAAGATATTTGCAAATGACAGATCAGATAAAGGGCTAGTATCCAAAATCTATAAAGGACTTATCAAACTCAACACCCAAAGAACAACTAATCCAATCAAGAAATGGGCAGAAGATGTGAACAGACATTTCTGCAAAGAAGACATCCAAATGGCCAACAGACACATGAAAAAGTGTTCAACATCACTAGCCATTAGGGAAATACAAATCAAAACCACAATGAGATACGACCTCACACCAGTCATGATGACTAAAATTAACAAGTCAGGAAACGACAGATGTTGGCAAGGATGCAGAGAAAAGGGAACCCTCCTACACTGTTGGTGGGAATGCAAGCTGGTGCAGCCACTCTAGAAAACAGTATGGAGTTTCCTCAAAAAGTTGAAAATAGAGCTACCCTATGACCCAGCAATTGCTCTACTGGGTGTTTACCCCAAAGATACAAATGTAGTGATCTGGAGGGGCACGTGCACCCCAATGTTTGTAGCAGCAATGTCCACAATAGCCAAACTATGTAAAGAGCCAAGATGTCCATCAACAGATGAATGCATAAAGAAGATGTTGTATATATATATACAATGGAATATTATGCAGCCTCAAAAAAATGAAATCTTGCCATTTGCAATGATGTGGATGGAACTAGAGGGTATTATGCTAAGCGAAATAAGTCAATCAGATGAAGATAAGTATCATATAATCTCACTGATACGAGGATTTTGAGAAACAAGACAGAGGATCATAGGGGAAAGGAGGGAAAAATGAAACAAGACGAAACCAGAGAGGGAGGCAAGCCATTAAGAGACTCTAAATCTCAGGAAACAAACTGAGGGTTGCTGGAGTGGAGGGGGTGGGAGGGATGGGGTGGCTGGGTGATGGACATTGGGGAGGGTATGTACTATGGTGAGCGCTGTGAATTGTGTAAGACTGATGAATCACAGACCTGTACCTCTGAAACAAATAATACATTATATGTTAATAAAAAATTAAAAAATAAAATAAAATACATTAACCCAATAAAATAGTTAAAATCTAAAAAAAAATAGACACACACACAAAACAAACAAGCAAACAAAAAAGATAGTGTTTTCGACATATGGTGCTGGAACAACTGGACCTTATACCCTTCAGAGAATTAATTCAAATTCAATCACAGACCTAAATGTGAAATGCAAAAATAGGGGCTCCTGGATGGCTCAGTGGGTTAAGCATCTGACTTCAGCTCAGGTCATGATCCCAGGGTCCTGGGATCGAGCCCCACGTCGGGCTCCCTGCTCAGTGGGGAGTCTGCTTCTCCCTCTGCCCCTCCCCCCTGCTTGTTCTCTCTCTGTCTCTCTTGCTTGCTCACTCTCTCTCAAATAAGTAAGTAAATAAATAAATAAAATCTTAAAATAAAATTGTTCTGAAGGGATCCATCAGTGCCTCTGTCACTCTCTGTAGTAAGCTGAACAATGACCCCAAAGATATCAGGTCCCACTCCCTGGAACCTATAAATGTGACCTTACTTAGAAAAATGTTATTTTATTGGCAAATGGAATTAAGGATCTTGAAACGGACAGATTATCTTGGATTATCTGGGTGGGCCCTGAATGCAATCACAAGAGTCCTTATCAAAGGGACGAAGAGGAAGATTTCACACACAGAAGAGGAACAGGCAATGCGACCACAGAGGCAGATACTGAAGTGATGTGCCCACAAGCTGTGGAATAGTGGCAGCCACCAGAAGCTGAAGAAGTCGAAGCGCAGATTCTCTCCTACAGCCTTTGGAGGAGCATGGCCCCGTTGAGACCTCGATTTCTGCCCAGTGACACTGATTCTGGACTTCTGATCTCCAGACCGGTGAAAGAATACATTTCTGCTGTTTGAAGCGACTGAATATGTGGTCATTTCTTGTAGCAACCACAAGAAACTCATACACCATCTTCCTAAATTTCACCTTCCTTTCATATAGATTTTTCATTCTGTAATGAATAAAGCCACCCACGTGTATCAGTCAGGACCCTCTCCAATTTGAGTGTTTGATCAAGGGACTGTAGACGAAGGTCTGAGTAGAGTTTGAGAGACCTCAGAGTGTCCGTTTCACAGAGCTGACCGGTGGGGGAGACTCCGGCACCACCCCAGGCCTCAAGGGTTAGGGGGACAGAAGCTGTGTGGAGACAGACGGCCGTCTGACAGGAGCTGTGGCCTGCAGTCAGGGGACACATTTGGCCCGCCGCAGAGGAGCAGGGAGAATAAGCACCTCATATCACTCTCTTCCGTGGCTCTGATTTCCTGCTAGTGGCCTCTGGTCACAAATGCAAGGGAGCCATCCAGGTCAGCCTCCTGGACACAGAGAAGAGTGGCGAAGAGTGGAGAGTGGATTTATAAGGGCAAATGGAAATATCTGGCACCCATTTAACTTCACTCCCTTCTCAAGACCGTCCACATAACAGATGGGCTTTGTGAGACAGAGGGCCCCCTGGATCCTAGCTCTGTGGCCTTGGGCAAGTCCCTACTTCCCTAGGCTTCCTTCTCCTCATCTGTAAAATGAAGGCATTAGCCTAGAAAGTCTTTAAGATCCCTTTCAGCTCGAATGCTCAGGATTTGAGAAGCAGACTAAATGCCTTCCCAGGCTGAGGCTGACCCGTGTCGAGAGTCCTGACAGCTGTTTACTTACGAAAACATAAACAGACCTCTTTTTTCCATGACGTATCTCTGCACCCATGGGAGGGTGTGCAGCGCACGCTGGTTATGGAGCTACTCCGAGGAAAGGAGCAGGCTGTGCTCCCTCAACGCGGACATGTCACAGGCATGCTGGAAAAGGGAACGGGGGCCTAGAAAACCAGACCGGGCCCTGGACAGCCAGCGGCGTGATGTGAGGAGCAAGCCACTCACCCAACGGCCAGGACGCTGGTCAGTGGGCACGTCTGCTCGTTCCTCAAGAAAACTGGGGGGCCTCAGCAGCTGGGCAGCAGCTGGTGCAGCCCTCGGCCCTCGGGCTGGCCCGGCAACTCCACTGGCAGGCCCAGCAGAGGGGTGGCTGCCAGCAACCACACAGATGGTAATAATTAGCCAGAGAGTCAAACTATGGAAAGTTCCAAGGGTCCAGGAGAGCCCCACACTGAACAATGAACATACACCGAGCCTTCCCCTGCTGCCTTGAGACATTTTGTTCTGTATTATGCCTGCCTTTTCAACTTCTCCTGTCTGCTTCTGTCTCTTTGGAACCTCTTTTTCAAAATGGAGGATGAAGCAAAGGAAGAGAATATCTTTATGAGCCCTCCAGGCCTCCAGAAGATGTGAACTACCTGCCCCTCCCCCTCAACCCCCATATACCTTGGGTGGCCTGGGATAAACAACAGATTTCCTCCCTGCCCCTAGCCCCACCCGTCATCATTAACTAGGACCTTCCATAACTCCTGACGGGCCCCACATGAGCACTCGTTTATAAGTATATGACTTGGCGGTGGGGGGCCTAACAAGGACCTCTATCCCTAAATCCTTAGAAACCCTCCCCAAACTGCTGATTCCTAAATTCCATTTTGTTCTCAACAAAACAATTTGACCCTCTTTGTACACACAACCACACTTGGGAAATGTGTGCTTTAAGGTTGCTCAGTGAGTTAAGGGCCCCAAGGTCCTATTGGAGATGAGGAAAGAAGAGGAGTCTGCGTGTGAGAAACCGAGAAGGTGGGTGGAAGCGGGGGGGGGGGGGGGGGGCGGCGGGGGGAGGGTGGGCCAGGAAGGACAAAAGGACAGAGAGAGAGGGCCCTGGGCACTGAGGGATGGCATCACCCACTTCACACCACTGCCTACAGCTGTCCCTGTTGAGTCGGTGCTATAAATGTTTTCTGAAAATTCAGATAAGCAGCTTCTCTATCAAGAAAACAAGAGATAAGAAACAGCACAGAGGACCATAGGGGAAGGGAGGAAAAACGGAATGGGAAGTCATCAGAGAGGGAGACAAACCATGGGAGACTCTTAACTCTAGGAAAACTGAGGGTTGCTGGAGGGGAGGTGGGTGGGGGATGGGGTAACTGGGTGAAGGGCATAAAGGAGGGCACGTGATATGATGAGCACCGGGTATTATATGCAACTGATAAATTATTGAACGCTACATCTGAAACCAATGATGTACTTATATGTTGGCTAATTGAATTAAAAAAAACACACACAAGGGAAGCTTGCACTGTGGACCTCAGACCCTCAGAAAGGAGCTTGCCTTTCCAGCGATGGGGTAGAGTACAACCGTGGAATGCGGTTAGGGGGTGCCTGGGGGGGTCTCCCTCTTCCAAAATGCTTCCCCTATCCATTGCCACCGCGAAATCTAAGTCTCCCACTAGAGCCAAACCTGCATATCAATTCATTTATTAATCACTTACCAGTGGTTTGCTAACAGTCAAGCACTGGCCAAAGGGAATTCTGATGAACAAGAACTAGGATTAATTTTAGATACAGGGTACTGACGGTGTTAGGTGCAGAGCAGGGCTCAGTGGGAGGCTGCAGCTGGGACCTTCTCTGTCTTGTCAGAAAGTGACAGAGATCCTTGCAGAAGAGGAGGGAAGAATCCCTGGACACCAGGACTCTGGGAGAGCCTGGAGACAGGTTAAGATGGCAATCCGCGCCACAGGTTTACCCACACAGGGCCCTGCCTGACAATATGCTTGCTTAGATGCAGGTGCACCGGACCCTCCCACCCCCCACCCCCCCATATCAGGCACCCTTTGTATCATCTGCCCCCTGTTCTCCAAAATGCCTGAGTGCTGCACTCAGACCTCATACTGTGGGTGTTCTGCTCCCTCCATCCTCTTCTAAACATGGCACATTTCAAACAGACAGAAATGGACTAAGTCAGGGAGGATTAGATCTACTATAACCATACTGTAAGCTTTAAGCACCCACAGGCAAACCAGACAGTCCTGAGTTAGCGCCGACCCTAGCGCTTACCAGCCATATGTGTTTGTGCATATTGTTTCCTCCTCTAGACCTCGGGTTCCTCATTTGTAAACTCGGGATAATAAGAGTTGTCACTCGATGTGCAGTTTTGAGGATTAAACAAATGAGAAAATGCATATGAAGCACTTAGCACAAGGCCTGGCTCCAAGTAAGTGCTCAATAAATGTCAATTATTAATGTATTTCTTGCCTACTTTTACTTCCAGTAAAGTCTAGCAAACTGATGGGCATAACTTTCAGAATCATTGCAAATTTAATCTAGACTTAAGCTAGGCTCACAGATTTGTTCTTTGAAAAAGCCACAAAATTCTTTTGTAATTCATGATCTCCTTACTGGTTTTTTTATCTGCTATATTTAGCTCTTAAATTTTATATCTCAGAAGTCATCCTTCCAAAAATACAAGTGGTTCAGCCAATGGCATTTACTCGCTGAAAAAACAAACAAATTTGTTTTTGAAATAACAATAGGTCGGAGGTGGGACTAATTTCCATAACTTCAAAGGTAAATAGATTATACCTCATTTCATCCAAGGGTCCAATTTGACAAAGCGACCCTAAAGACTAGTTGTTTCAGTTCTACCTCTTTAATCTCTGGGAGAACATCTCAGCTCTTTCTCATAGGTCCCTAAGCCATCTCTCAGGGACCCTGGTCCTTTCTCGCTGGGGTCCAGGAACAACCCTCTCCCCCGAGCTCACAGGTGAAATCGCTAGTGTCCATTTTATAGTCTCGAACAGCAGTTACTTATTTCCAGACGGCTGCCGAACTACCTAAGGTTAATCCAACAACCTCTTTTACACATAAAAACATAATTCACTGAGTGTTTACTATGTGCCAGACACAGTTCTAAATGCTTTCTGTGGACTAATTCATTTTATCGTAATAATATCTCCGTGAGAGAGATACTGTCATTATGGTCCCTCTCCATGGGATAGCATAACTTGGATAATTTGCCTACGATGACGTAGCTAATACGTGACAGAACTGGGATTGGAACCCAAGGGGTCGGCTACAGAGCTGCTTTCCCACTAAACCATACCACCTCTGAGAGAAGAGGCGACGTTTATCGGGGATACTGCTTGAACAAAACTCCTGACTCCACTCTTTCACAGAAGCACCCTTCCTTCCATGGAACATTCTGTCCTGACCCTGTCACCCTGTTCCTTCCAGCCTTTTCTCTGGGGCATCCTTTGCCGAAACTATGAACAAAACACACTCACCACCATATCCCTCTTATCTCTGTCAAGCAGGGCTGCAAAAATATTCGAGGCACTGGGGCTCAGACTCAGAGGATGGGCCTCCAAACCCACGATCAGTAGTAACTGGCTGGGTGCCCTTGAGCAAGTCAACTCATGTCTCTATCTTTAGATGCCCTATCCGCAGAGTGGGCAACATGCCTTTGTGAGGATTACATGAGCTAATCCTTGTAACGTGCTCAGCAGAGTGCCTGGCTCAATCAGTAAGCTGTTATCATTACAGAAGATCAATAACAGCTATTATGATTATTGATCATGCAGTCCATAACTGTGAGCAGAGTTGAGAAGGGCACATTCAGAAAAGACTCAGAGAGCGGCCAGCTTGTAAGCCAGGCTCTCCGGGGCTCTGCCCCTTGCCTGTCCCTGCACGTGAGGACAGGCTGCCTGAGATGGAAGGGCTCATTCCCACACCTGGCTGGCACACAGCTCCACTGGGTGTCCCGGGGCAGGAGATGACCACGAAGTAGGAGGGAATAGGGGGGCCAAGTGAGTGCTTAGACAGGGGAGCTAGAAATCCCGCTGTGAATCAACTCCATTCCAGAAGCAGTCACCTTCAGCCCAGACACGTTACTCTTTCCAGCTTAGCAGTTCTGAGACTGTTTTCAAAACTTTCTTTCAACTGGGCACCCCAACATATAAGTCAGTAAAGAGCTGCTTTGTTGGGAGTGGGAAGAGGAGGCTCCTGGAGCACTTGCAGGCTCCTGGTTAAACTCCTCCCCCAAAAGGACCCTGTGTCCCTTCTAAACAGCAATGATGTCCTCAGACCACAGTTTGAGAAGCGTTTCTTAAGAGAAACAAATACATATACTACATGAACCCTGCCCTTAGGGAGCTTGGAGTCCAGTGAGCTGGCAGCTGCAGTCCTGCACTGGCTGGCAAGTAAACTCTGACGTCCCTCATGGAAGGTCAAATCCCAACAGGGCGTTCTTGCTAGCTCCTACAGAACCTTCAGGCTTTGCAGTTGCACAAGATCCTTCTACATTTATACCACACACCAAAGGGACGGGGAAGAGCTTCCTCGCCTTGTTCACTTGCTTCAGTAAAATAACCTTTTAAAACTAACTTACCTCTCACAACACCTCGGTGGGGTGGGGTTATAACTATCCCATTTTACAGATGAGGAGACTGAGGCGGAGGACATTTAACTTGTCCAGAGCCACCCAGCCAGGCAATGCTGGAACCATTGCTGCCTGTTTTCAGAGTAGGGCAGCCGGGACTTGAGACTGAGGCTACCTCAGTGCAGGCCCCATCTCTGCCATGGACCAGTTGTTTCTCCGGCATCAGCGTCCTCATCTGTAAATAAGGATGATGGCGATGACACCTACCACCCTTAGAATGGTGGCTGGCACACAGCCAGTGCCCAACAAGAGTTTGTTGCTGTCTTGGGATCACTAATAGGTTATGACGAGTTTGTTCAATTCACCGTCTCATTGATCTGGCCCGTGAAGAGAACAGCGCAAGGCTAAGGAGCTGTGTGTGTGGTAGAGGTAAGTAAAAGCCATAGGAGCTCAAACGAAGGGCATCTGAAATGCCTCATTTAGGACTGCTTCCTAAATTTTTGAGTACTCCTTGTGCAGAAGCCATGCTGAGTTGTCGGTGTCGGTCCAATGTCAGCACGTGTGGTGCCAAGGCTAGCCTTCCAGCCACTGACTGCCGGGAGCGCGTCCCTGACAAAGCCAAGGGCCCCACGCAGCCTCCCGGCTGGACGGGTTACCTCTGCCACGGTCACCTGGGTCTCGAACTGCACCTGGGCTCTGCTCGGAATCGCCCAGCACCGGTGCTCCAGGGCCCTCGTGCCACATCCCCACGCCTGGAGGGGCAACTCCAGAGTGTGCCCATGGGTGGGAGGGGGAGGGAAGGAGAGAGCCCCGGGAGCCGGCAGGACACATGGGCCCGGTCCTGGCACTTCACTCATTTCTTCGTCAGTCTCCCCAGAGCTGAAGGTATTTAGGAGAGCTCCTTGACATTCCAGAGACTCAAAAACAAAAAACAAAAAACCACCCCAGAATTGGGGGAACGCTCAGAATTCTGCCACAACACTTTCCATACCAGAACTCAAACAAAATGTGTGCTTCCAGGAGCCCAAGAGTTAAAGTGCCATTTGGAAAGAGAGGGAAAAGAAATGTCTGACCTTATACCTGACAGTCCGCCCACCCATCACGCACACCCGTGGGCAAGAGAATGCCCCCAGCCCAAGGCTTAAAGGACAAGTCCTCCTTTTGCGCAATAAATGTCAAACGATCGCAAGAATGTCCAGTCCCCTGTGCCTACCTCTCGGACTGGGGTCCCCAGGGTCGTTTCTCGCCGCCGTTTGCACCACCTGCTACCACGGATCCATCATCTCTCCTTGGGAAGCCAGTGCTTGCCGCTGCTCAGGGAGGGGTTCCGCGGAAGGAAGGGGAGGGCAGGCACTGAGATCACCGACGTGGGAAGGGGATGGTCTCCGAACCAAGCACTTGGTCAGAGGGAAAAGGATGTTTTGTAATTTTTGGCTTGAATTTCCAGAAGCAGAACAGGAAATGTCCACTGGGGCTGGGAGCTCCAGGGAGAAATGGGCTGCAGTCTCCCTTCGGAGGGGAACTTCCCGGGGCTCTCAATGGTGCCCTGTCTGGAATTTAAAGCTCTGTCTAAATTCTGGTGCCCCTTTCCCCCTTACTCTTTCCCTTAGCACATTTTTTTTTCTTAATGGAACATCAGCTTTGTTCCTGACATGCTGGAAAAATTTTCCTCTGCCTAAACTTGGCTCAGGAACACTCTCTCCTTGTGAGAGAATTTCTCCTGTTACAAAGTTCAGTTTAAAAAACAAAACAGGGCGCCTGGGTGGCTCAGTTGGTTAAGCGACTGCCTTCGGCTCAGGTCATGATCCCAGGGTCCTGGGATCGAGTCCCACATCGGGCTCCTGGCTCAGCTGGAAGCCTGCTTCTCCCTCTCCCACTCCCCCTGCTTGTGTTCCTGCTCTCTCTGTCTCTGTCAAATAAATAAATAAAAAAAATCTTAAAAAAAACAAAAAAACAAAAAAACAAAAAAAGAAGGCTATTTGTTTAGCCAACTTTTGTACTAGGGACATTTTTGATGGACTGTTTTTTTTTTTTCATCTGAACCTCTGGGTTTCAAGAAATATACACACCATATTCCTCTTGACTGTGTTTTCTCCTCCCTTCGAATGGAAAAACAACAACAATAATAACTGGTAAAAGATTATAGTGAAAATGTCCTTAAACTGTGGGTCTAGGTCAGCCTCATCTCTGCTCACATCTCTGCGCACAGTGCAGGGTGTGAGGAGTATGGTAAGAGGGGCAATGCTAGTCTCCAAGACCCTCTCTTAGTTCTAGGTCTTTCTTTCTTTTTTTTTTTTAAAGATTTTATTTATTTGACAGAGAGAGACACAGAGAGAGAGGGAACACAAGCAGGGACAGTGGAAGAGGGAGAAGCAGGCTCCCCACGGAGCAGGGAGCCTGATGTGGGACTCGATCCCAGGACCCTGGGATCATGACCTGAGCCGAAGGCAGATGCTTAACGACTGAGCCACCCAGGCACCCCTCTAGGTCTTTCTATGATGGGGACACAGGAACTGGCTACCTTTCCCAAAGGGGACTGGGGTCCAGTTCCACGTAACAAACCACGTCCTCAGCCCCTCAGGGATGGGGCCTGCAACATTGCTGGTTGGGATTCTTGGAGGCGGTGGGTGGGGGTGCATGGGGTGAAAAGCCATCGTAAGATTTAGCTGTTGGTAATCGCCCGGAGGGTGGCATGTCTGTGCATTGTCAAATGCCACCACAAATTGGGAAACTTTAGGGTACTTGTTGACCCTTGCAATAAAACTCAGTAGTTCTCAGGGTGCTAATTGGGGATTAGTTCACAAACAGGAAATGAGGACATCCCCTCTGCTCTGCTTATTAAAAGAAGGTGAGTAATAAACAAATTAATAGTGTAAGCAAGATAAGAACAAATTTTTTTGCCAATTCATGAGGTCAGAAAATTTTAAATGTTTTAGAAGTCTCCTTCGTTTACAAAAATTATACTGCATACATAATAGGCTGAGGCTAGCAATTTTTAGATTTTTTATTTAATGTATCGGTAACATTTTTTTAAAGGATAGTTTACTTTTTATTTTTTATTTTATTTTTATTTTTTTAAATATGTGGGGTTTTTTAAAAGATTTTATTTATTTATTTGACAGAGAGAGAGCACAAGCAGGGGGAGCGGCAGGCAGAGGCAGAGGGAGAAGCAGGCCCACCGAGCAGGGAGCCCGATGCGGGGCTCGATTCCAGGACCCCGGGACCATGACCTGAGCCGAAGGCAGATGCCCAACGACTGAGCTACCCAGGTGCCCTGATAACATTTTTATCTAGTCAGTAAAGCAAGACTGACTTAGGTGAAATTTTTTTTTTTTCTAGCTTGAGTTTTGTACCTAAAGTTGAAAGTACTTGAAATGCATTCATATTCTGAAACTTAGAGATTCTGTCATTTCAATTTTGGTTTAGTGTGGAAATAATCCTAATCAACAAAATTTAACCCATCATTAAAGTATTTAACTAGATGCCCATTTTGGTGTGTTTTTTTTTTTTTTTTTAATTTATTTGACAGAGAGAGACGCAGCGAGAGAGGGAACACAAGCAGGGGGAGTGGGAGAGGGAGAAGCAGGCTTCCAGCTGAGCAGGGAGCCCGATGCGGGGCTCGATCCCAGGACCCTGGGATCATGACCTGAGCCGAAGGCAGACGCTTAACGACTGAGCCACCCAGGTGCCCCCATTTTGTTTTTTTTTTAAACATATCTTAACATAATAGTATATGTAATATACTATACTCCCTCACTTGGTTTTTGTCCCCAAAGGATCTCAAGAATCACACTCTGAAAAGACGTAGACAAATTGAGTCTATTTTATATCTAAACAACAGACAAACTGTGTTCTAAAAAGATTGATCATGTCCCCAAATGAAGGCAAAAGTCTAATTCCCAGATATAGTGTGTGCAGCTTGGTGGGCACAACTTGCCACAGGGATGGGGGGATGTTGCCAAGCAGAATTGGTGGGGTGTTTTTTTTTTAATAAAATATTTATTTATTTATTTGAGAGAGAAAGAGAGAGAGAGTGCAGGACCCAGGGGCAGAGGGAAGGAGAAACTCAAGCAGATTCCGCATTGACCCTGGACCCACGGGTGGGGCTCGATCTCATGACCCTGAGATCAGACCCAAGCCTAAACCAAGAGTTGGATATTTAACCCACTGTACCCCCAAAGGCACCTTAGTGGGGTGGTGTTTCTAACTCTTCTCCTGAGAGCAAGAGTCACTAGCTTAGTCAGTCATCTTTTTCCACTTGCTAAACTAACTGATTTGGTATGAATGTAGACAGAGGCATAACAATTTTATGGGCAGCAAAAGACAGAGCTAAAGGCGAAACGAAAACCCAGTCTTTTTAAGGTTAAAAGGTTTCAAAGCTAGACAAGGTTTCACAAAAGGCCAAAGTTTGGATTGGTTTGTAGGTGAGGGACCATACTGAATTGAAACAGTTACATTGTGTTGGTTGAGTGCCTAGTGTGTGTGCCGCTCTAGTTGAGGCCTCCTCAGAAGGAAAATGATTTTAACATAACAATTCCGTAAGGTATTGTTGCTCTCATCTTACAGAAGGGATGCTGGGGTTCTGCGCAGTATCTTTTGCAATTTTACTTGGCAGCGTCAAGATTGTTCATGATTTTAAAAAAAAGATTGTTCATGATTTGAGTTTTTGAAAAGATTCATTTTATTCATGTTGCCTGTCTAGTCCCCCAGCTCCCTACCATGTTCCATCTTAGAATTGCAAATATCATCCACTTCTTCATTCCAGTCAATGAACATTTTTTTAAAAATATTTTTTATTTATTTATTTTTAAGATTTTATTTATTTATTTATTTGAGAGAGGGAGAGAGAGCACATGAGGGGGGCGGGGGTCAGAGGGAGAAGCATACTCCCTGCCGAGCAGGGAGCCCGATGCGGGACTTGATCCTGGGACTGCAGGATCATGACCTGAGCTGAAGGCAGCCGCTCAACCAATTGAGCCACCCAGGAGCCCCAGATTTTATTTATTTATTTGACAGAGAGAGAGACAGCAAGAGAGGGAACACAAGCAGGGGGAGTGGGAGAGGGAGAAGCAGGCTTCCCGCAGAGCATGTAGCCCGATGCAGGGCTCGATCCCACCTGGGATCATGCCCTGAGCTGAAGGCAGACGCTTAACGACTGAGCCATCCAGGCGCCCAGCAGTCAATGAACATTTAGTGAACATCTGTGTACATAGGACTGGGCCAGGAGATGAAGTCCTCAAACTCTGCCCTGGGGATGTTTGTAATCTGGTAGGGAGAGGAAAGAAACATCTCTGTATCACAGCACTTAACAATTCTACTCCTAGGTATATACCGAGAGAACTGAAAACGTATGTCCGCACAAAGACCTATACATGAATATTTATAGTAGTCCTATGCATTATAGCCGCTGATGGAAACAACCCAAATGTTCATTAACTGATGAGTCAGTAAACAAAATTGATACAGCCCTAACAATACAATATTACTCAGTCATACAAAGAAATAAGTACCAACACATGCTACAACATGGATGAACTTTGAATATGCCATGCTAAGGGAAAGCAACCGGACATAAAACACTGCCTATTATATGATTTCATTTATGTGAAATATCCAGAATGAGCAAATCTGTAGAGACAGAGAGTAAGTAACTGGTTGCCGAGGGCTGGTGTGGTGGTGAAGCTGGGGTTGATAGTTAAAACCATAGGGTTTCTTTGGGGACTGATGAAAATGTTCTAAAACTGATGGTGGCAACGTATGCACAACTTTGTGAATATACTAAAAACCACTGAATCGTACATTCTAAACAAGTGAATTTACAGTACGTGAATGATATCTAAATAAAGCTATTGCAAAAACAATACACGTGCATGAAAAAAAGTAACTACATCTGTTTAGTGTGTAGCCCACTCCAACTTGCAAAATGCCGCATTCCTTGTTTCCTTGGCTAATTCATTTTGAGGTTTAAGAGACTCAAGGAAAGAATAATTTCTTACAGGAGCAAATTATTCTGCATAGTGTGATTCTTTGATGATCTGCTTTCTTAGGGAGACCGATATCCCCAGGCTCTTTCCATTCTGTCCTCTACCAGAACTCATATTCAGGCAAGGATTTTAAAAGTGTAATTACCCTGAGATTTAGGAACCAATTACTGTATGATTACTGTGTGTGCATTTAATTAATAAGCAAATTTTTGATTGTCTTTAGTTACTGAAATAAATTCACTCTGATTTTTCATCTCTCAAAAACTCCTGCTTATTCTGGGTTCCCTGAAAGGTGCAAGAACTGAAAGTCTGGCAGAGGAAGCAAGCAAACCAATGTAGTTGGCAGTTCTAGGCACTATAATGGGAAATACAGGTACGATAAGGACCCCATGGGGGCAACGAGTGTATGGTGTGGGGAATGGCTGGAGTGGTAGGTGTGGTAACAAGGAGGCCTGCGG